AAAATGTGCAATACCTTCTCTGGGACTTGAACCTGGACCTCTCGAATACGCGCTGAGTTTGCTGAACGAAGGCATGCTAGAAGGCGGAAGAAAATACCTTATAATAAATGATGCCCCTTTATGTTATAATTTATAATACATTCTCACCTTGTTGGCATGCTGGTGAGGAAGTCGTTTGCCATACTCTTGAACCCAGGATCGAATACCATAAAAAGCTGTATGGGTGTTTGTCAGTGTATAGCATCTCTACGGCATCGAGACACTTAAAATGCTGTCGAGGCGAAAGTCATCGCGAGGAGTTGGCAGTAAGGAGAGTAAGGTAGAAGACCTGGAGATCTGAGGGATTTTGCACGTAGAATGACTATAGAAAATTTTAATTCTTTTCCTTCTTCCTCCCCCTCAGGCAAAGGGTGTCAGTATTATTGACCGTATTTGTACACGTTGGATTAATATAGTCCTTTGTGTTACCTTCGCTTCTAGTCTTTTCTTTGTATACATGTTTAATACCACATCATCCTCTGTATGCCTTTTATGCAAACACACCATGTAAGAACATGCTTAGTACGCATGCAACTGCTGTTTGTTTCAGTATCACAATATATACTATCAGTAAGCTTCTATTACTGATATCATTATCATTGCTTTCTTGAATGCGTTGCATATTTGATTGGCATTCTTCACATTTAAGTTACGTTACCTGGTTCAATCTATATGGCATATCATAAGTTTCTAATGAGTATTTTATTTTATTTTATTATGCTTGCGTTGTTACTTTTTAAATTATTTTGTAACTTAGCACAGTACCATTTCTTGACTTGTGCCCATATATTTACTGTGTACCATATTAGTCGTTGGTCAAAGCCTTTAATGCCTTAAGAAGATGTTACCTAGACCGTTGGACGAGATTTGGAAGTAAGAACGTGAAGTACGTGAAGCTCGGACGCTGGTGTGCTGCACTATCAGCGTGCCAGAAGAGTAAATTTTGAAACGGAGCTAGGCAAACTCACACTGTCACTTATAAGGAACTCAAAAGCCTAAGTCAATGACTGGTACAACCTTTACTTCTTGGCCATTCTAAGCTTCGTAAACCTGATCTGACTGTAGGTTTGAACTCAGGAAGATTCTATACAATAACAGCATAATGTTTCTAACTCATGTGATTTATAATATCCCTTATTGATAAGTTTTTAATCATTAATGTAACTAATAAAAGCTATTTATAATATATTTTACGTTACCTCGGTATGAGCTCTACTAAATTTTGCATTTTTTTTTTTAAGAATCATCAAGAAAGCATGAAAAGAACAATCTTTGAGGACAATGAAGTCCGCAGGAAAGAATCTTTGATCAAAATGTGCTGATGCAAGGGAATTCGAAGCCTTTGGGGAACCTTCTGATTTTCCTGACAGCTTATCTCTGGGTGGGTTCTTGGGTGTAGAAGTCAACGAAGAACAAGTTAACAAGGTATTAAGAGTCACAGGACTGAGCTGACGATGAAAGAGCTCCTTACATCTCAAAGAACAGCAGCAATCAAGAATCCAAATGAGAATATTGAGCATTTTAGAAAAGTTAAAAAAGTCGCCAGAATCAAACTACTTTGGAATGTTGGTTCTCAAAAGACACCAAGAGCAGTGACTCGAAACCTTCCGAAGATCGTTCCTCAACAAATGGCATAAAAAAGACGAATAATGCAGACAGGGGAACCAAAAGGAATGCAATTATCTGGCGCTATTATGGAAGCTGGCTCACCTTCTAAGCAATAATCTCTCTTTTCCCCTTCTCCTCCAGCATCCACATGCGGCATCCTCATTTATTTTCAGGATAAGTACAGGTTTTTATATTTCTAATTTTACTAATTTGCATTTTTCTTTTAATATTATTATTACTTATTAATATTTTACCCTAAAATACAGTGTGTTTACTGACAAAAATCATTTTAAAAATTTGAGTTCATTGAATCCAGTAATGGATTAATCAGTTTTCCATTATTTTAAAGAAAACAAACTGTTTTGAAACTCAAACGATTTGAATCTCGAATGGTGCTTTGGAACAGATTGAGTTCGGATTTCAAGGTATCACTGAAAATAAATAAAAAATGAATTAATGTTCTCACTTTTGTAAATTAAAATTTGCAGCATCAAAACCACCACTCTGACCATTCCATTCTTTTATTACTTGATACGTGTTATGCGACAAATCAGGGCCAGCAAGGCCGCATGTACTTCCTTAAGGTCTAGAATATTTTTTGTAACGTCTTTAAGAACATATATATATATACTTGTTCTTACACATACTTGTACTGCACATACTTGCAAGTAAGTGCAGGAAATTAAGGCACCGCATTAAAGATACATAAATCCAGACAGAAAGCAGCTGGGCATTTTGGCACTGAAATCAAGAAAATACCTCTTGATAATGGCAGTTTTGGGAAAATATGTTTAATTAATAAAAAATTTTGATTTCATTACCTCTTTTTTATATTCAAAGGTAGTAAGTACTCTTGTTAATTCAGCATTCATCAGAAGTGGCGGATCCCTCGGCGTGTGATCACCAGGAACCTTACTCAAGGTGCACTACAGGAGGGGATCGATATTACACCCGCTAGAAAGGGAAGACTAGTACATCCATGCCTTTTCCGGTCCATGCCATCCATGCTTTGACCTGGTATAGCAAATGGCTTCCATAGCCATTATATCAATCAGGGCAGCCGATTGTGATATCTTGAAAGAGATTATCTAGTTTGGCTTCCCATGAACTTAGTATAATCTTCATTGGTGTACATAAATGCATGTGTGGGAAACACAAAACGCGCTATGAGAGTTTTTTTCATAATTTTAGTATTTCCTTAGAGACTGCAAAATATTGTTTGAAGGAAGCAATAGTTTTTGAATGAATTTTTGGTAGGATTTAATTCATAATGTATAGTTTCATAACTTAAGAATGGTGAAAGGTGATACTTATTTACACAATGTCTGACATTTAAATAATTCATGATGTATAGATGTAACTGATACTGAATGGAATGATGCACGGAATATTTTTCATTTAATTCAAGCAGATAATAGCCTAAACTCCCACAATTTCAGATTTGATATATTCTTTCTGCAAAGCGGATTTGAGAGAATTGGGATTCGAGCTTGAAGGATCTAAACAGTATATATGACTAGAGTAACATTTAAAATTGGGGAGGGGGGACCTTAGTTTGGTTTAGACCTTAAAATAAATTTCAAGAGACTTCGAGGGCGATCAAATGTACATTTCTGTCCATCAGGAGTAAAAACGTTTTGCTCCTGAAAAAGTTTTGTTCCGACTTTTACTGAAACCTTTTAGTACAACATTTGTAAATTAATCTTTTGTCTGTTTCTAAGGCGTTTATTATTCTACGCGGCTTGGCAAATTGCCAGTTAGACACTGCTTTTCGATGCTGCACATGCTCTTTAATAATTTTTTGAATGAGGAAATGTGCCTTTTTTCACCAGTTGAATGATTTAAAAGCAGCATAAGTACTTGTTAATAATTTATACACGCATTTTATTATTTCATATCTTTAATTAACGCAGCGCAAAACATATCTAATTCATGTGACGTATAGTGTATCTAAATGGTAAGTTTATAAACATTTGCCTAATTATTGCAATTAATAAAATATATTTCTAATGCAATATGTTACTTACCTAGTTAAAAAAATAAACGTTTGCGAGCTTCTTAACAGTCAACGTTTAAGCATTTTAACACTTAGCAATAGTGTTTATAAAATTTATTTAAGATAAATCAACACAGTTTTGATCGATATTTATACTTGATTTGAGGAAATTTTAAAGAATGCACAATTCGATCAAAATCATTTGGGAAACAGGAGTTTTTTTAAAACCGTACAAAAGTCCCATTCAGGGTCATAGGTAACAAACAAATATAAATTAAAATTACAGAAAATTTCATTTTAATTAATCTTCGCATAAGTTAGAAAAAAAATGTGCTTTTAATTACTTGGTGGAAACAACCAGCTAGATCTATTAAACGAAATCGCATAATATTCAAAGAATATAATATAAATAGATATTCAAGGAAAAATTTCATTTGAAATGAATCCAAACGATCAGTGTATTTATTGTATATTTGTACAAACAGGTTTTATTAAGCTTAAGGAAAATTAGACAAATGACATGTTTCTGATGTTCTCACGTTAAACTAATATAATTATTCTTCTTGAACGCATTCTTCCTCAAAGAAACTAAAAAAGTACTTCCAAACATATTCTCCTTTGAATAAATTACTCACAGCTGCAGAAATCAAAAACTGTTTTCCAATTCAGGATGTACTGAAACTTACCAATAACCAATAAAAACTTACCAATAAAAATGAAATAAGTAGGGCTTTTGTTACATTCCAAAAGTGACTCCCGACCTGAAACGAAAGTTTTTTACTTCTGTGTGAGTACATTTACCACGATCCTGTCAAAGCCGTTGACCCTTCTTTCTTACTTTTTTATTAGAATCTTAGGTATCCTTATAAATCTTTTCTTTTGACAGAGAAAAGCTCAGTTAGTTATTGGTACCGACCACATATCATTCTTCAGGATTTATCATATTTATGATTGTATGTGTTTCCCTCAATGAGATGAACAGTTATTTAAGCAGATTAAATTAGAATGGGGTTTCAATAGCCAGTTATGTATATTATGCTAAACATTGACTAAATAACATATTAGTTGCTTACACTGAGAGACGGAATAATATGAATTTATGATTAACTTCAGTCTAAACGTATCTTTTGCGAATGACAGTACCGTAGACAAATATCTGGAGATCATGCCTTATTTCAGTCACCGTATTTACTTTCCAGTTACAAAAAAACTACGTACTAAAACAACGTTGTTTGTAAAATGTTCTGGAGGCCACAGTCCGATCGATGATTGCGATAGGGGTCGCTAGAATCGCTCGCCTGTTGCTGTGTTAGCAGCATTCCCCTCAAAACCCTGCTCGGAGAAAGGAGTGCGAGCACATCGCTAATGGATCTGGATCAAACAGACTCACATGGATTTGATCCATCAACCGCAGCAGCGAACTCAAGTGCAGTATCGTATTATTTTTTCCGTGCAACGTACAGTGGATTCTCAGGCAGCCTTGTTTTTTAAATTAATATTTGGTGACTGAAAAATATCTTGATAATTTTTCGGAAGCTCATGATTTTGCTATTTGTATTTATTGTTAGGTGATAATTTTAGCTGAAGGTAGTTTTCGGTTGCATGGTCATATTTTAACTTATAAATAAATATTAGGAAAGCTGGATAAAATTTAGTTTAATATATAGCCACATGCGGTCTTTATTAGTTACGTTGCCAATAATATATTCTTGCGTGATTACGTGAATGACTTAACGTTTTCGCCAATGTTTTCTTTCTTTCACGATGGCAAATGAGGAGTCAGCAATCAAAATAGCTAAGTAACTGCAGGAAGACATTAGATTAAAGGAAAAATTTGGAAAACATATTTTTGGATGTCAAAGTGCGCTTAATTATCCGAAACTCTTAATAGAACTGGCTTATATCATTTTCAAAAGTAGGCACTGTAGAAGATTTTGAATATATCAGCATTAAGCAATTTTGAATGCATATATTTGCATACCCAAAGTGATATAACAAGTAGAAAGCGTGCCAATACATTCTATATTTATGAAAATAAAATTTAAGGTCTTTACATATCCAACTTTTTCTGAAACTCAAATATAAAACCAAACATATCAGATTTTAAGAAAGCGGCTTCAAAATCCACTCTATTTTTGTAAAAGAGAATGATTTTACGAATATAATTTAGTGATTTTTATTAACTCTTCCAAAATAATTGAAAATTATTTCTTTTTCTAAATGCATTTTTAAGAACTTATAGGCTGTATGTGCAAAATGTTTACATAATTTCTGTTCCGATTAGTTCTCAGCTACAATAAATAGTTAAAAAGGTCTAGAAATCTAATAACCTGTAAAAACTCTTATAAGATCATTACCATAAAATGGCAAAAATGTATTTTCTTGCTTACTAGTTAACAAGGTTTGATAATTGTGATGTTTTAGAAATCGCAATAGTACACTTCTGCTGAAATTTCGAAAATTGGATCATCCATAAAAAAACTTGAAAATTTTACTTGATTTTCTGGAGTTTCCAGAGGATATTTTGCATGAAATATTTTGCCCTTAATAGCGCGAGAGGTGTTTCTTAATTTGAAAGGCGTAAATGATGGCAATTTGAGCAACTATATACAATATCGAATAAACAAAAGCGGTAATTGTATATGAAAATACTTAATTTTATAGCTAGCCTAGCTATACTAATCAGTTGCTACTCCCTATAAACATAGAAATTTGTTTCTTTTAACATAAACGCATATGTACCATTATCCCATGCAAATATTCTCAGAACTGACTTCGAAGCAATGCTAGAAGAGTGTTGTAGATGTCGCACACTAAGCTGTGAGATCTTTTTGAGTTTCGAATAAAGTCTGGCGTCATGAAGCTATGGCATCTTTTGCGAAACATCTCAGCACTCATCTTTACTTTCACATGGAGCGCAACAACCGTAAGCAAGGTAGCAGAAATACTCAAGCAAGTACTTCTGGTTTTCATCAAAGTGATCTTCAGCATTCGCCGACGACACACAGGCCAAGATCTTGGAACAAAGAAAACAGTCGACTTGACTTAGAACAGCGTGTTTATACCGGCAGTGGGGAGCTTGTGCCAACCTACGAAACTCCTGCAGAAGATATCAGTCCTAGACATTTAAGTTTAGATTCTGGTGGCAGCATTATGGGTAGTGCTTGGCCTGAAGATTATTTTAGCTATAGTCCATACCTTTTAACACCAGACTCTTCCTTAAAATCAAGGATACGGAGACGTAACAATCGACGGTATGGGGGTTCATCAAGTAGATACGAGCTAAGTGTTGATGATGATTACGATTACGTTCAGCTTATGACAGAACATCCTAGACTGAGGCCACCGGAACCTTCGTCGCCGATTTTGGACAGAAGAGTTTTGCCTCCAACTCCTAATAGCTCTAGTAGGAAGGATGGTCGCGAAGAGCTTTCGTCTGCTTCCTTGTACCCAGATGAATTAGAACAGGACTGCTTCATAGTCCCATCCCATTTAAGAGGACGTTTTCTACCCGTGAAAAACGTGAGTTATTTCTAAAAATCCTTATTATAATGTAATGATGAAGATGTGTTAAAAATTTTTAATTTCCACAGTTACTTTTAAACTTGCGTGTTTTAATGCTATTAAAACGAAATGAAGTTGATAAGAATTTATATAACAGGAAGGTTAAAGCTACCGAATGATTTAATATATTATAAGTGCTTCAGAGATTACTCTGTTTACAATAGTTTTATATATTTGTTTTAAGTGTCATTATAATCTTTACTTTTAAAATCATAAAAATGGGAAATTAGAAATTATTAGAGATACTGTATGGACTGTGTAAACAGTTTTCGTAGATATTTAGAAGCAGCTTAAATCAATTCATTTATTTCTGCACTCATTTCAAAATTACTTCACTTAAAAATGTTTTAATAATATTCATCTTAATGATTTATTAATAGGAATGAATTAAGAATTGCTATGCTCAATTGCAAATAACAGTATTTCATTACCTGAAAATAAAAATTAAACTAATATAAGACAGCTATTTTATTCCGAATGTAATTTAATTGCAAAACAAACTACATAAAGCCTCTTTGTTTAAATGCATAAGTTTTATACACTGTTTAACTGCACAATATCTGTTCATATAATAAAGAGTATTTCATAATGTAGACAGAGAAACCCTGATGAGTTTTCAGAGGTTACTCAAATAAAATCAAGTCCAACAAAAGGAAGAAAAGTCAGTTTTTATTAAAGTAGTATTCAAAAACACTTTACAACATATAAAAGCTATACTTTTATGTACACTATTATATTGCTGATATTTACGCAGCGGACTATTATATGGAAATTTAATTAAGAAATATCTAGCAAAGAAAATGACAAAGGTTCTTGCTGTAATTTAAAGGAGTCTCTGCTATTGAGACTTGAGCCAGAAACTAAATACTAGTGCGAATTATCGTCTTAAAAAACGAGCTAGTTTCCCTTAGAAAGTCCTCCACGAAGGCATCCATCCCCTTATGCAGATAGCCCTCGAGGCTTTGCCGTAATTAAATAATCTAACCTAACCTAACCTTAAAAACGAATGAAAATCTTGCAGCTACACTGTTTGAGAGCTGCTAACTAAAACTCTGTATCTTATATGCTTACTTTTACAAATATTAACTTCGAAACAAATGTCAGGAACTCTTTGCAAAACTTAATATATTTCTTTACGTTAAACATAATTCCACTGAACTCCTATTCTCTATTCATTGAAAGAAAAATCTATATTTCATTCATCAATAGTACGGAAAGCTTCAGTCAGTCTAGCTGATTCTTCATCAATAGTACGGAAAGCTTCAGTCAGTCTAGCTGATTCTTCATTACTAATACACAAAGAGATATTTGGCAACTTTCTACTGTTTAAGGGACATCACTAGAATAGCAGGAATACTTCCTCAATTTAAAATTTTAAGCTGTCATACTTAACGCATTTCTCTTTTTTTAGATTAAACTAATTTGCATTATCTAGAGAGAATTGTTTTTCTCAGAACTTAAAATGTGCGAGATAGATAAACTAAAACCCTAAATAATGAATTAAAACTAAAGAAAAACAAAGCGGGATCCCAATATTTAAAAAAAAGAAATGAAGAGAGAACTTATATACATTTTTGAGTAGCATTTAACAAATAGAATTAATTATCAAACTTCTCCATTTTAGTTGCTAGTAAATTTATTTCACGTGATTTAACTTGTGTCTCTGTAATTTTGAAAAGAGAATTAGATGTTCGACATAATTCCATGCATTTTACTCGTGACCAAACTCTTAATTTTGTTTTTATGTTAATTTCAATTTAAAAGTTTGCATCCAATAAGTATTTAGCTCTGATTAAAGAAAACATACGGAAATCCTAAAGCTAATATTCAGCTTTTGATGTTTTCTTTAAACCGAAATTAGGTGATATGTTTTCAAGGTCCATATGTCATACATTATTATTAGTCTCCAGGAATCATTAACTCTTAGTGCGGGCAACAAAATTAAAATCAAATGTTAAAATAAGAACAGAATTCACAAAACTGTGGCAAATCAATTAACGAAGAAATCTTAATATATTATCACGTTTATTTGAGCGAACACATGCGTTGCGATTTGGTTATTAAGCAGCAAGATGACTCAACAACCTAAGTAGTACAAACTAGACTATCTTAGCCTGAGTTGCTCAAATCTGTATAGAAAGATTCACTTAACCACGCCAATTCCTTTGATATTTCGATGAGTATCTTACATCAAGTATTGCGTGCAACGCACTGATGTCAAGGAAAAACCAATTTATACAGGGAATGATACTTGCAGCAAAATTAGACGAAAAAAGCTATTAAGACCTGTAATCATTTTCTCCCAACACGAACTAATGGATTTCAACACAATATAATGGCAGATCCTGTGAAATGAAAGCCGTTTGGATTAATAAAATACGCCTTCTTCGCATCATTAACACTGAAACATCGTATTTCTGTTAGTAAGAAAAGTAGAAAACATACGCTTGCAAGAAACCTAGAATCATTGATATTATAATGTGATAACTGCATCAGGGTTAAAGCTACCAACAATTAACTTATGTACACATATTTCTTCGAAGGAAAAATCCATCAGTTTGATGGATTGGTAGTTCTAATGTTAAAGAGAATTTGTGAGCATAGCCGCTCTCGATTTTTTCTTCTCTTATTTGCCTGTCAATCTGGCTTCTCCTGAGCTTAAATAAAATTCTAGACATCTATATTATAAGGTTTATGCTCTAAAATGTATCACAGTTACGCTTTGAAACGAAAGAATGTTTTAGGGAAAGGATAGGTTATTTGAAGGCTTCTGGCGACTTATTTAAATATTTGCTTTTATTCCTTTAAATAAATTTAAATACAATGCATTATTTTCTCTTCAGCTTCAAGAAAACTTCAATTCCATGTGGACTGAGTTTCAGTTATTGAGAACTTTGGTTACATGAATTTACCTTTTAAGTTGAATTAATTTAATTAAAATTATTGAGTGGAATAATTTTGTAAATGGTAGAAACTTTAGCTTTTGAGAAGGAGCTAGAACTCATTTGGGGATTAAACGAATTTCACAAACTGTAAGTGAATACGAAAGCAATCAGAGCGTGACGGGTTAGGGTATAACTGTCGAGGAAACACGAGACACTCCAGCTCATGGAGAAGAAGATAAAAGCTTTTCTTTTTTCCTTTGGGAATCGGTTTGCAATTTGTATTTGGCCCGAGAATAGATAACATTTTCTTTTGTTTGTTTTAAACACCAGAAATGAATAAAATGACAAGATGTTCTATTTGATGAGAAAATTTGCATTGTAATTGATAGTTAAAGAAGTTTCTTTGACTTTATTTTAAGACCTAGAGTCTTCTTTAAACTTTTATCAAATTTTAGGAAATATCAGATCGAATAAAGCAGTCCAAATCTGAGTCAAGATTATCAAACTTTTAATTTAAAAATCATGCACTTTAATTAGCGATCATATAACTGAGAATTTATTTGCGACTAGAAAATATTAACATTCAAGCTTGAATGGATAGGATTCGATTGATCAGATTACAGCAAAGCATGCAAAGACTTTCTGCCTAAAAAAGGGTTGTTTCCATAAAAAACGTTTTAAGGGAAACTGGCTGGCTTTCACTTTCTAGAGGGCAAAATGTTGTGAAACTCCCATGCAGCTACAGCGACACCAGTGGCCGATTGCTGAATACTGTTTAGTGTGGGGTCGACCGTAAAGGACCAGGATGGCTGCATTGTTGGTTTCAGAGGATTTCTCACGTGCAACGTGAATAAGAGACAGTTTCCTTCAGAAAGTGCTCCACGAAGGCATCTATCCTCTTAGACGAAGAGCATTCGTGGCTTTCCCATCTTCAAATAACAAACCAAACCAATGCAATTAGCACGTTCACTTGGTTTTGAAGGTGGGTCGAACTATCCCACTTCAGCGATTCTATCGCTTGCCTGTTGATTTTTAATAAATTTACAAGGTATTTCTCCCGCCTTCTTGGTATGCTTTCGTGAAGTCGTGGTCTGCAGTCTCAGCACATAATTGAGAGTTCCGCGGTTCAATTCCAGGCGAAGGCGGTTGCTAATTTTTCAATCTCTTTTTCTTCCAAAAAATCCTAATGTTTCTACAGTGGCGTCCGAACTAAAAGGGTTATGGATGATGACTCTCCACACCCAGGATTTGGCGATTGGGTCCCCTAAAAACTCCAGTCGTCATTTAAAAGGGGGAGTATGTAAGGTATTTCTCCCGCCTTCTTAACGAGCCTTCGTGGTGTAGTCGTCTGCACGCTCAGCGCGTAATTGGGAGGTCCGCCGTTCGATTCCCGGCGAAGGCGTTGCATATTTTTCAATCTCTCTTGCTTCCAAAAATACCTAATGTGTCTACAAATTAAGGCTTATATATTATAGATTTCTGGTTTTTACCTGCCAGTCCCATTTTTTGATCATACGGCCGGCTTGTGCAGGTTAGGAGGATCGGGGCTGTGTCCTTATAATAATAATAATAATAATAATAATAATAATATAGATTTCATAATACAATGATACTATCATTTTCATCAGCTTTTGACACTGTTAGGTATATGTAATACAAATTACTTCAAATTAAACTAAAAGCCTCAAAAGCATTACGAAGGTATTCCTTTTAATATAATTGTTTTTCTTTACTGAAATTTAGTGTACATATATTAGCTCAACTTAGTTTCCTTTTTCTCTAAATTTTTGTTTACTAAAGCGCTAAAGAATTAAAAATTTGAAAAGCATTGCGAGTGAAACTAGTTTTGTGTTTAACGGGAAGGCATCTGCTTTGCTTTTGAAGGGAATGGAAAAGGGATTTAATAAATATGATGGCTAAAATTAAAAACTCTCGAAATTAACTTGCAAATGTATACACAATTAGAATTAATTTGAAGTGATAGAATGTGATTGGAATATTAAACCTTAAGGAGAAAAATTCTTATCTTTAAGAATATCTTTTCAAGAAACATTAAACTAAGGAGGCCAGTAT